TTTTAAACCCTTCCCACCCTCTTGTAATATTCTATACAATGTTTCTAAACTCTAAACGCTCTAAGGGGTCGTTTACACGACGCATATTTTGAGTGAAACCGCACCTTTCTCTCTTTGGTTCTGCTGTTCATTTACATGACACTGGTAGCTCCGCCTCTTTGAATCCAGAGGTTTCACAACCCACCTCTCAGAGAGGAGGTTTTCAGGAGACCGCCCACTGATCATGTAAATGTGACCTGTTAAACCACATGCGCTCAACAGGCATAGATTTCACACACGCGCGAACCGGCGGCGTATTTCTATCAACAACAATGGCGGTGGAGTATAACATCCTGCTTTTCTGAGCTACGACTGATGGAATATATTTTGGGTCTCGATAATCTACACCAGAATGTAGCTGCTGTGTCCGACATCTGTGTTGGGAAGAGACGCCAGTTGGATCCAGTTTTAATATCACCATTTACTGAACAAGCCTGTCAAGGCAGGCGTATATTTCACACGTTGCGCTGTACTATAACATATTAAATGCGCTAAATAATAACAGTTTAAAAATAATAAACAGTATTTATTTATAGTGATAGGACATGAAGTTATCGGAGCTAAATGAAACTATCTGGACATTATGTAATTCAAGTTATGCGATTTAGACGATGCAAAACACATCGCATGTTATTAAAGTTGACAATGAAGACATCAGATTTAATTTGTATTTATTTATTCAACACCACAAACTGTATGTCACACAAACATTGATGATTAAACACATCAATGATGACAAATATGATTAACGCACTATTAAAAACACGTTAACCGAACTGTAAACTACATGAATGAACTGGACTCTGTTTGCTGTTGTCATCCTGGATACTGACGCCATGTTGTTTATCTGGCTCGTTCAGGCTGTCACTCCTTTGCTTAGTGCAGTTTAAAACATTGAATGGCTTGGAAAAAAGAACTGAGGGGTTTTAAATGGATGGTTCAACAGCTCTCTCTTCGACGTCCTCCTGCACCGCTGAGCTTCGGGCCGAGGCTCTTTCGGAGCCGGTCCACCGCTGGTGGGAGGAAAGCTTGTCCTCGCAGGAAAAATAAAAATAAAACCTCAGTTTGTTGTTGTGTAATAAAAAACACAAGGTAACATTATTATGAATGTTGATTTACCAGCTGTAAATCAGCTACTGATTATCGCGGAGTGGAAAGTTCGACATCATCCTCGTCATTTCTGGTCCGCTCAGTGACCGGTGTGGAGCTGTTAGATGAAGCGGTTCCGTACGGCGTCAAATCTGTCGACTCGTATCCAAAATCCAGCTTTAAGTTGTTGTTAAGTTGTTAGCTGAGCTTTTAGCCCAGAGGAAAGTCTTTATAGAGAGCGGGCCGAGGCAGCATGCATGCACATTAGGTGAATGTACAAAATTCACAGCGCCAACTAATGACCCGGCATGAGAATTACAGCAGATTTTGCGGAGCGGGGTGGATTCCTGCAGATGCATGTCAACACAAAATCCATCCGTGTCAACGCAGATGTTTTCCTCGAATTAACACCTGAAACAAACCTACGTTTCCCCTCGCTGTGTCCGTGTAAATAGGACCTAAAAGAGTCATGTCATGAATGATGTCATGATTTCATCTCTCTGCCTCCGGCTGCACTCTCGTCCACACCCACTTCTCCGCTCTGCACGGAGATCAGCTGATCAGCTGCAGGAGGAAGCTTCCCCCACGGCTGTGGGCTGCACACAGGTGCTAAATAATTTAACACAATTTATTTTTTGCGGCTCATCCATCAATTAGCCAATTATGTGTCATGTCCAACCTTACTTTGAAAAACCGCGATAGAGCGAGTCCGCGAAAAACAAACCGCGAAGGGACGAGGGACTACTGTACAAACTTTTCAGTCCGAGGCAAGGTCAAAACAACATCTGCTTTCCAGCTTAGAGGCCGTGAAGTTTAACAGGTGCACAGGCTCCATGCGCCTGCAGGCTCCTCTCTGTTCAGACAAAACAACTCTAACTAACTTAACATTAGTAGGTGATAACATCCATGACCTTCACCTAAATTCCCTTGACAAGGCGTGCATCCATTTTTACTTTCTGAGCATTTCATTAAAATCCATCCGATGTTTCTTAAAATATTTTTGCAAACAGACACACATAACATGAGCAAGTAGAAATAAACACACTAGCTCACAGACTAAACGCTGCAGAATAACTGGTACCTCCAGACTGTTTCTGTCTGATGAAACCACACCTCCCACTTTACTGCCTCAACTTGTCTGTGTGGCCGTAGACACATTCCTTAGCCTGAAGCAAAGCAACGCATTCCTCACTAAAACAAAGATGAATAAAAGACATACACAAGTAATTTTGTGTTGGTTTTTTTTGTGTGTAGAGTTGTCAACTAATATACAGGATCATCTAAAACACACACTTCTGATGTATGATCACCTCAAACATCTCTTCCTGCTTTTCAGCCAATGTGGACTCAGTTCAAAGCATCATAACCATTTATGGATGTTTTGTTTAAAACAAACAAAAAAAAAAAACAGCTGTGACAAGCTCAGACACAGGGAGACACGAAACGACAGTTTCACACCCTGCTGGACTTCCTCATGTAGCTGGCTCTAAACAATCCAGACGGGATCATTGCAGGTTAAAAACAATCATCACCTGAATCAGTTTTGCACAACCAAACCATGTTTGATGCAGCCGCTACAGATGAAGACAGTGGAAGAGAAGCCGTAGAATAACTGTTCCAGCTGCAACAAGCTACTGTATGCTCAAACACCGACACGCAGGACATTTAACTTACCCCTGTCCCATTGTCACAGACCACCACTTTCCTCCCCTGGCTGTCCATGCTCTAACCAGAGTTGCTTAAATGCTCACTCCCACCTGCCTGAACACGAGTCAAACTAATCAATGAGAAAGATGAGATTAGTGCACATGAGCTCAGCAGTGATGGCAGCAGACAGGTAGGAAGAAGACTTCTTGCTGCTGCTCCTTAAAGTGTGGGTGGGATTATGAAAGGTGCAGAGTAGACGCCCATGTGGGTCAGGGAGGAGGTAGTTACAAGTACCAGTAAATGCTTACTCTGAGTTTA